TTTAATATGTTCATGTGCAGGCAATTGGTCTGTTATTAACATATACTGGTTACCTCAGTTTTGTGTTGTTTCTGAATATCCCCTACTTTTTTTGAAGAGTATATATAGATAATGCAAAATGTATTCATTGACCGTAACCAATGTACTGGCCATTTGAGTCTTAGCCTTGCTTCTTTTTTTTAAATTAAAGTATTAATTTGCCGAACCATTCTGATCTAATTCAAATCGGAGACATCCGGTGGCATCGAGAGTTGATTATGGTCTTGTCAATTACTAACTAATAACTTATATAACATTTAAGGCGCAAAGAAAGGCTTGCAATAGGCAGATTTAGCGCATACATAATGTCTGCTTAATTAATCTATGTGAGTAAATTTTAGCGTGGATGAAGTCCTGCAAAAAATTTGATATCTTCCGAAAAATGCAAATACATGAGCAGTGAGTTTAATTTACACTGAATCTGGATGGGAGAAATTACATGTTGCCCATGAAAAATACAAATGATAATCGGTGGCGATAATTCATGCATATGTGAGAGAGACAAAAAAATGGGTTTTAACTTCCACTAGACACAAACTATGTCATTTCCTGACTAACATATGGTTCAATTTTATTTCTATAATTCTCTAGCGTTTCGGGGTCTTTAGCAGCGGGAAGAAACTGGAGGACCCGGAGAAAACCCATGAGGTTGGACTGACGACCCTACTCCTTGTACAAGCGAGAATTTGAAACCACACCAATTGACTTAATGACAGAACTTGTGATCAAATGCGCATTTAACCATTTGGCCACCCAAGCCTCCTCACCTGTAAGAAACAGAAATCTAGAAAACAATACAAACTACTTTTCCTGAGATTATATATTTATTAGGAAGACATTAAAATCATACAACATTACACGGACAATACAAGAATAATGCCCGATGATGTTAAAATGCCATACAAGTTTGGTTGTGGTTATATGTTCACTTTAATAAAAACAAATTCTGATATGTACACAAAAAGACAAGAATTACTGATGCTGTTGTAGAGGACTTCCTCCGGGGATTAAAAACGGTTAACCTTATGTCAATGATGTTGTTGGAATAAATTTAAAGCCAAATGTTCTGATCCATTAATTTTATAGTTCCCATGAGAGATTCAAGAAATATATATCTCAAAGCTGCATTTAGGAATGTCTTTTCCTTTTAATTATATTCAGATATATTGTACCATGATTCTTGGCAGCCAAAGGATGGTGAAATCAATAAGTCCTTAAGTATCTAGAGGAGGGGTTTGCAGAGTAGGTTCTGTAAGGTAACTGAATCCATATCCATTCTGATCGGATACTATTTTGAGACCACTGGTTACCTGCTAACCCACTATGAACTTTGTGATAGAGCATACACATAAAATTTTTAAACTGGCATGTTCTGTGTTTTTGTGTGTAAAATGTAGAAATGAATAAAGTTTCTTAATTCGATTAAATTGAGCCACAATTATAGTTACAGAATCAAATTTGATTTGTTGACCTTATCTGAAAAGTCTACAGGTCAGTGGGAAGAAAGTGGAGGACCTGGAGAAAACCCACAAGGATGGAAAGGCAACCCTACTCCTTGTCACATACAAGTGTTGGACCGAAACCATACCACTTGACTCAATGACAGATTTTATGATCTAAACTGCACGCTTTAGACCAATCAACCAACCAAACGACTCCTAAATTATTGATACATGATTTAGATATTCAACATCATTAAGGATCCTAGATATTATATGAACATTCCAATCTAAAGTAGTAGCATCAACGGTATCATCATCCTTCTGGAAGCCTCTTCAGCAACCCCAGCATTAACAATAATCAGTTGTAAAATTCTTCATAATAAACAAATATACACAAAATATATCCTTAAAACAAAAATATAAAATTCCACATATGTTATTTATATCCACATTAACAAACAAAGATAACATACAATTTGCTGAATTAATTGGAAGACAGTTTCATAATACTGTTTATAACAGACATGGTGATGAACCAATAGTCAATTGGTTAAAATACTACTACAAACTATATTGGAAGATAAATATTTTGGCTGAAATTTTTAATGTTTGTTTAACCTTATTACATATATCATAGCAAATTTCAAAAGTCCCAAAGAAACCGAGATTCTGTTTTAAATTTCAGATATTACTAATGACCTGCCAACAGCTTCTTAAATGAATAAATGATAAACATGAACAGGTTCATTTTGCAACACACCATAATGACTTTTACAAGCCAGGTATCTTACACATGTCCAAGATTTAGCCCAGTCAATCTCCATTGCAAAACAAATTTATTTATTAAAGATTCATAAGACCTAAATCTGCCTACTGCATTTTTTTCTGGCTTCAAATATTATGTAAACATTATTATTTAAACATTATTAACATGATACACCAATATTCAACTCTCTGAGCCATCGATTGCTCCAGTTTTAAGTAAATTAGAATACTGTGGCCATCTAGATGATCAAGACTTAGCCTTGATTGTTAAGTACAGTTGATACGATAATAAACCCTCCAGGTTAAATTTTCAATATATCATTTTTCATTATATATTTTTGAACTATTATAATAGGAAGAGAGAGAGAGAAATGGGGTTTAACGTCCACTCGACACAAACAAGGTCATTTCGGGACCAACATATGGTTTAATTTCATTTCAATAAAACCGGAGGATGCAGAGAAAACCCACGAGGTTGGACAGGCGACCTTACTCCTTGTCACGTACAACCAGGGATTCGAAACCACGTCAGTTGACTCAATGACAGGCCGTATGATACAGCACGCGTTCCAACCATTCGGCCATCCAACCCCCCTATAATAGCAAGAACTGTCAGGTCTTTACTGTATATCTAAATCTTACATAATGCATCTTTAAATGACCGGTACATTCCATTTAAACTACATTCGATTAATTTACAAAACTGATTTTACTCAAACTTTAGTTGGACATATTGGTGACTGTTAATCATAAAGTTTTGAATCTTTGGGACTTCTGAAATACAATGAATACTAATTTACATAATAAATATATATTATATTGTGATGGATAAGTGAAAATGCGTTTCAACATAGAAATGATTGCACTTGAAGACTTTGGCACTTTTAAAAGATTAGAGAATAACATTAAAGATATAAAACATTAATAGACAATCATTCTGGTATTACAGAAATATAATATACAAAAGAAATTAAATAATTATAATATACTTAAAAGTTCTATAAGACACCTAGCTTAATTATTTCGTCTCACATCATTAGTTCATCAGTAAGATAACAGCCATGATTACAGTCTTCAGTAAATGAACCATCATGATTACAGTCTTCAGTAAGTGAGCTGTCCTGATTACAGTCTTCAGTAAATAAAACATCATAATTACAGTCTTGAGTAAGTGAACCATCATGATTACAATCTTCAGTAAGTGAACTGTCATGATTACAGTCTTCAGTAAGTGAACTGTCCTGATAACAGTTTTCAGTAAGTGAACTGTCCTGATAACAGTCTTCAGTAAGTGAGCTGTCCTGATTACAGTCTTCAGTAAGTGAACTGTCCTGATAACAGTCTTCAGTAAGTGAGCTGTCCTGATTACAGTCTTTAGTAAGTGAACCGTCATAATTACAGTCTTATTTCAAAAATTTTGTTCTCTAGTCCCATCAGTAGTGGTTCCAAAAGGGAATACAAATAATTCTGTCAAGAATTGATTTTGACATTTTATAAATTATTTTGGTTCATAATCACATCTTTATGAGGATATCTACTCCTAACTGTGTATTTTACGAAGAATTTTTTAAAATTGATCAAACCTTTTGGAAAGATCACTGTATTATAATTTAAATATCTATAAATCTTCAAATATTTCACATTTTTATGGTAGTGACATTAAAAGAAATACATGTTAGTTAACATAACCTTCTTTATTCACTGTTAAACTCTCCAATATCTGTGGCATTAAAGGAACATGTTACTAAAAATAATCTTCTATATTCACCTTTACTCTCTCCAGCCATTTTATGACCTCCTAGAAGTCTGATTTGTTCGGTTTTAAATTTGAAAACAAAATAGATAAATCTCATGACTAGATCATTATATTAAGTTCTTAAAATTCAAAGATAAATAAACATGATTTGTTATTTTATGGAAGCATTACTGAGATAACTAAGATTTAAGCCCACATCAGAGTTCTTCAGGGTCTTTTGAAATAAACAGCTACAACTGAAAAGTACTTTCTGTTTCAATCTGACCTATATTCCATTTCGTTTTTTTTATACTATTGATGGCCTACACTACATGAAGATTGGACCAGTTGTACTGGGAGGAATCAGGGCTTGTACGAGCGGCTTTTGACACTATAATCAATCAGTGTTGATATTTCTAGTGGTTTACCCAAGAAGTCGACGTAACAGATGGTTTTATTGTCTAACGCAGGTTATATAACAACTCTTCCAGATCCTAGTGTAGTAGACAAATAAAACAAAATTTTGAACTATAAAAAACAAAAAAATTTTGAACCTTAAAAAAACGAAATGAAATAAGATCTGTGTTTTAATCAGATTGTTTCGGTTTTAAATTAGTCATTTTCCTGAAGAAATATGAGAAGAACATTTTTAATGTGTGTTCCAGAAGAACTAAAAATCAAATTGTTTAGTCTAAGTATACTTTTCATAAACATCAACATAAGTGGTACGGTAATATACATAGCATATGAAGAGATTTGGCTGCAAAAGGCGTGGTCCGGCCAACGGTAATATACATAGCATATGAAGAGATTTGGCTGCAGAAGGCGTGGTCCGGCCACTCACTGGACGAAAAACACATCAACTATACTTAAACTGTATTCTCCTAATGTCCCAACAGAAACCATTTTTTTTTCAGCAGAACAAAAGTCTGACCCCTCCAAAATTGTCGTCTCGACTGCCTTGCACCTTTCTAGCAAAGCTATTGGATATAAGCCATTACATTAACATAATAATAAAATACAACAAACAATTTTAATATTAAATTACAAGGCATTTAAAAGAAACTTAAACTAACCACTTAACTTGGAACTGTCACAAACTTTCAACACTTGCATCCAAACGAATAAATGAAGTGAAATGAAATGAAATGAAATGAAATGGGGTTGAACGTCCTACTGTTCTGCTCCTAAACTGGGCTAATGAAGACGGGCATACGCCATACTGTGTGCTATGAGGGAAATTTTGCCCGGGCAGCGGCACTACGGCCTACTCTTATATCTAATTCCAACTGCCAAGGGATCTTTTACGTGCACGCCAATGTGTACACGGGACCTCGGTTTTTTGTCCCATCCGAACGACTAGACAGCTGTCCTTGTCAGGCCCTCCGTCCTGCATCACTGACAAGGGGAAACCACGCCGGAAAATCTGGACGAACTTTCTTGGCCAATGCAGGGATCGAACACCCGACCTCCAGGCTAGCGAGCCAGCGTCTTACCCACTTAGCCACGTGATCCCCCATCCAAACGAATAACCCAAGGAACTGGGTGGTTGGGTTGAACAAAACCATGGATAGAAAATGATGAATTAAATGTTGAATCATGAATGGGAATATGTCAACATTTTCTTACTCTTGTCGGCACGGATGGATGGTTGGGTGTGTGGGTCGAGATCTATTCTAGGGTTATTTGTTTGGACGCAAGTGTTGAAATTTTGCAAAGGTCAATTAAGTCCAAATAAATCTTTCAACAATATATTTGCACACTGCAGACTAATAAAACTAGCATTATATAATAAATCTAACCAATTCTATAAACTAACAATCACGTTCATCACGTTTATCTACAGCAATAAAGTATGCTCAATGATATTTACATAATATTTTTTTTTTCAACTTTTGTCATCAACCACGTTTTAAAACGTAAAAATGCAAATACTGGTGGATATTCAATAATAGCATTAAAAGAACAAAAGACAGGTAGTGAAAAGATCAAGGTAAAATAACGGGAAGGAATTATCATTAAGGGGCATATTTTAAACAAAACACTGTAAAGAGAGAATGTCAGTGCTTTTCTTTAAACAGTGATTTCTTATCCAAAGTAATTTTCAGTTTTTTGGTGTCATGATATAAATAGTCATTTGTGTCTCATGACCTATAAGTTTCAAATTTTTAAATTATAGAACCTAAAATCACTGATCATTAAATCATTTTTTGGAGGGTATCTAATTTTAATAGTTTAATTCACGATACTATGTACCCAAATCGATTCATCCTTCATAATATTGTAGTTTGTTAAGGACTAACAATCCTTCCATTGACTATCAGAGACTATAAGTATCTTGAGAAGAACCTCCAACCATTTTTGTTATTTTGTTTCGTCCCAAAAACAGGAAGCAATATTTAAATAGCTGTTTCCAAAGAACTAAACTTCATAATAATGTCCCCTAAGTTCTTAACTTTGTAGTTTGTTTTAAACAGAGAGAGAGAGAGAGAGAGAGAGATGGGGTAAAACGTCCACTCGACACAAACCAGGTCATTTTGGGACTAACATATGGTTTAATTTTATTTCAACAATTTGCTTGTGCGTAGGGGTCTTTAGCAGTGGGATGAAACCGGGGGACCCAGATAAAACCCACAAGATTTTTTTAATATAGATCAAAGATAGGGTGACCCACCATAAATAAATATCTCCATATATCTCGACAATTACGCCACAATATTTATATATATGCCAAGCCTCAAATCAGTTTCACACAATTATAGTCACTAAATAAACGATCATGTTGTACTTAATAAGCTATGACCATTAATCATGTATAAATAATAGACTGAAAACTGGTACCAAGAGTCGTCCATAACATCCAGACACTTTTGAGTAAAAGATAGGTTACGTGCCCTTGTTTTGAAATTTGTCTCGCTTAACCAGTCTATCGACCATTCTACGTCTGATTGACAGGTCGGGATAATCAAGACTACTTTTTTACGAAACGTAACAGAAAGCTAGAACAAGAAATTGAATTTAGAAATAAGCACGTTAGGTAGCTCAACAATCGTTTTAAGAAGCTTGTAAAAGTAAAATGAAACTACTGCTAGTATCATGTTCCTGCCTAACCCGAGTGATTCAGATATATTATTTGTACTAAACCAAAAGATGCCGCTCTTAACGGTACAGTTAATGATAAAGCGATTTAAAAAATGAAACGAACGTAATTTCTAAATCTGCTGTAATAACCAAGAAGCTTAATTTAACTGCTATCCAAAATCGTCAACAATAAATTTTTTACGGCTGTAATAGTTGATAGATTTGTAGAGAATTGCACGTGCCATGGCTATTTATAGTATCATACTGTCAGAAAGTTGGTCTCGGCACGGCGAATGTGCACGCTTCAGTGGTAGTCTCGAACTATCAGCGGTGGACTGTATTTCTGTGAGTACATGGGCCACCCTATCAAAGAGAAATCAGATTTACTGAATATCTGTACATGGCTCTTTAAGACAGTTGTCTGATTTAGTGCAACATTTCTGAACAAAGGGACTTTTTCATATAAAACATAAAGAAATATTTGACACAAAATGTATATAAATTAGAACACTTGGGGGAAAAAATGACAGAAACAGCATAAAGAAAGTCTTTGATTTCTAAAGAACCTTAATATGGCCTTGCTTTATGAGTAAATTGTATTCAAGTTGATGGTCTTTTTATGGATTATAATCCCAGTTTTATTAAGACAGAGAGTTCAGTAGGTTCTGTTCGATGAATTATGGATTAAAAGAAAAGGCAGTCGTAAAATGGGTTACAGGTTAAGTGCGTGTCACGGCAGCATGGTATTTAACAAAGGTTATAGCCGAAAGTTCTTTACAGAATTCTTCCAAAACAATAATAGCTTCAAGTTGACCCTGATCATCAAATCTGGAATATAAGAAAAAATCGTTTCAGTGAAAACAGGACCTACATTAACTGGTATCACTAAAAATTAACACTAAGAAATATGGCAGGGCAACCTTGCATTGGTTGTTCACAGTAAACTTAAAAGATGAAAATTTAGTGAGTGAAGCAAGGAGAGGCAGTAAAACTAAATTTAACACCATAACCAACAGCCACCTGAAATGTTCCATGATGTTCTGAAACCATAGCCACCTGAAATATTCCATGATGCTCTGAAAGCATGAGTCCAAGCTGAAATACCTATTACATGATAGGATTTCAAAATTATTTAATGACATTTTTTTTTTACTCTACCAAACCCCTTTTTACCGTAATCCTGTGCAATACAAAAAATTCTTAATTACTATAAATGCTAGGATAAAACCTAGCGATCTCTAAAATCTAATCAGATGTTCCAGTTAAACCAGAACCAAATCCTGTTAGTGCAACAAACCTCACTCAATTCAATATTCTCAGATGATTCCACAATAGAGATGCAATATATTTATTACGTCTAGATAAACTGAATATGAACTAAATCAGTGTTAAATAAATATAAGTTAGAAAAATGCCTTAAGGAAAACTTGGATGTTGATCACAAGCTTGAAAAAATTTGTTGAAAGCTGTAGCCTGTTGCTTAAACAGGGTTTTTAAAAGGGGGTGGGGAGGGAACGACGACTCTGGAACGGAAGGACACAGAATGCTGATGCTGTGCTGAATATTGATAGGGTTCGTCCTCGTTTGACATGCTGCTTCACATCAAATCCGAAAAAATGTAACAAAAATTGTAGCCTCTATTGCATTCACAAGCTAACTGTTGCAGGACGGACGGACAAGGTGATGACTATGTACGCTTAACCTATTATAATCAAAAGTATTGTAATTGAAATATATTGTGTTAAAGTTTGATGTGTAATCCATCATTTGCTACATAATACTACTATTTAGTATTTACATAATATATAATGTAATATTAATATAATCAGTTAACCTATTCTAGCTTAGGAAAATTAAAGTTAGTAATCTACCCGAATCTATTCATATATATATATATGGTAATAGCTTAGCATCTTTTACCCTTAAAAACAAAAGCCCCTTCTCAAATTGCTAGTCATTATTATTGGCTAAACAATAAGCATATGTTATTCAGTAATTAGTAATCTAAGTAGGAGTATATGTTGATTAGTAATCTATTTGCATGAGCTACACAGTAATGTTTAGTAATCTATACATAATACCACATTAAGTTATTTATATAGCATGCTACATGCGCACATAAATGTTAAGACTAGGAAAATCAGTTTTAGTAATTTACTTAGGTGTACCTGGAAAAACCATTTTGTAAAAATAATTTACAATTTGATTGAAGAACAAAAGCTCTATGACCTTTCCTGTAATAAATAGGATATAAAGCACCCACAATAGATTAAAAGCAGGTAAAGTATGAAAAACAATGGGATTAAGTCCAATTTATTAATTAGAACCAAAACTGAAATCTGAATTTAAAAAAAATGACTAATGGTTGCAATGGCTGACTTTTTTTTTATCACTTAGTTGTAAATAACAGATGGACAGTGGTCTTTAAATTCGTGTCTTGGTACCTTTAGCTTTAATAATCATAGAGAATTGAACTTGTTTAAATGGAATAATCTAATTGTAGTGTATTAATAATAAATTATAAACTTACCCAGGAGAAGGTGGTGTCATTGGTTTTAGTCTTAAACTATTTCATAACACAAATTAAAAGAAAAAAAAAGAAACAACAGGCTATTAATTTGGACATGCAATAAACAATAATTAGTGGATGTCAGGAATGGTAAACTCGGTGCCAGATTCATTTATAGGCTTGGTAGGCTTAAGTCTAGCGCCTCAAGATCTAGGGGTGAGGGGGGGCTCTGACCAAGGAGTGTCAAATTTTTGACACTGTCCTAAGCTTTTCTTATGTAGTCTTAAACATCCACCATCATCCTCTGCTTTTCTCAATTGTCTTTGAACACGTTTACACCTTCCTTAGTTGTGAGGGTAAGAGAGAGAGAGAGAAATGGGGTTTAACTTCCACTAGACACAAACTATGTCGTTTTGGGACTAACATATGGTTCAATTTTATATCAATAACTCGCGCTTGTGCTTAGGGGTCTTTAGCAGTAGGGGGAAACTGGATTACCCAGAGAAAACCTACGAGGATGGACAGGCGACCCTAACTCCTTGTCACGTACAACCAGGGAATCGAGACCACTCCAGTTGACTCAATGACAGACCTTATGAACAACGCGCACACGCTGACCATTGGGCCATCCACCCTCCCTCCGGGTAAGGGATCGGAGGGGCATCATAAGTCGAATAGACTAAGACCTCTCTTCATTTAAATCTGACACTGGGTTATAAACTGTATTTGAATTAAAGATCTACATGTCTAATGACATGTGTACATACAATGAAGGATTAAACTGAAATTTATCATGCATATAAATAACTAGGGTACACTTTCAATCATTATACATCTTTTGTTTTCATTGCAACATTCACAATCAATCTGATTTAAATACAGATCTATATTTCATTTCGGTTTTTTTATACTTTCGGTGGCTTACACTACACGAAGATCTGACAAGTTGTACTCGAAGGTCATGTCAGGGGCCGTACAAGCGGCTTTTGACCCTATGACGTCAGACATTGAATTGATTAATCAATCAGCGTTGACGTTTCTAGTGGTTTACCCACAGTTCCGTGCATGGCACGCCAAGAAGTCGATGTAACACACCGTTTCATTGGCTTATCCCTCACTTCAACCAAAATTCCGATAATATAACAACTCTTCCAGTTCCTAGTGTAGTAAAGACAAGTAAAACGAAATTTTGAACTATAAAAAACGAAACGAAATAGGATCTGTGTTTTAATCAGATTGCATTCACAATGGGGTGTACTAATACAAATTTGTACTGAGTCTTCAATCTATTTAGACTTGTAATACAAATGTAGAAGACATACAGTATGGGAGAAAGAAAAAAACGAGTGCATACCTCGATTTTATGAAAATGAAATATGTATCAATAATAGATTATTCATACATGTGACATAAATGGCACTAAATACTAGGTTTGTTACAATTAAAAACTTGTACTTTCGAAACCTGAATTTATTAAAGCCTCCATGAATCAGAAGGTTAAAACTAAAATCGTACTTTCGAAACCTGAATTTATTAAAGCCTCTATGCACCAGAAGCCTAATACTCGTGTTCCTGTTTTAAATTTAAAATGTGTTCTTTAGATTGTAAATAAACAAAACCTAGGTTAGACACAATCTTGACCTTGATGTTCATAGATATAATGAGTTAATCTTCAGTAGCTGACTGATATTCTAAGAGAGATAACAATGATATCATGAAATCAACACAAAATAATGGAAACTTTATTAGACAGCCATAACTAATATAAGGACTGATTGATTTTGGTTATTTTCAGACCAATTTACTTTATATAAGTGTACATGGTACCTTAGTTTCCATCCCATTTGAACATAACACATGAATTACAACATATAAATATCAACTGAAAGCCTGTATAAATTCATGGGTTTTCTATTCTTCATTCAAAGTAATTATAGATTAGCTACAACATAAAGTAAAAGAAAGACTTTTCTACAGTTTTGGATTTTGTTGTCGTCTAGTACAGGGTTTTAATAAAAGGCAATTAGAAGTTCAATTAAATAGCATTGTGCTACACCATTTACTCACTTCAATGTTAAAAGAAGAACCTTAAAATCAATACGAAAACTTATAGGTAACCAATGCAGTTTGATTAAAAACATGTTCCTTTTGTTTTGTACAAGTGATAAGTCTAGCGGCTGAATTCTCTATTTTCTGTAGTACTTTAGGCCACAAAAATTAGATTTTCTGTTAATAGTGTTATATGCACTCGGCAGACCTCAGCAGATTTCAGTACCCTAGATCTAGCCTCGGCTGTATGACGAAGTCTGCCATTGGAACTACTTTCAAGTTCCCAGATTACCAACGGCGTTGTCCATGATGACGCCTTTAAAGAATGTTTTATCATACAAGTCTGAAGCTGTTTATCTTTCAAGTTTATCCTATTTTCTTCAAACAAGGACAACTTTGCACTGGAAATTTTAAACACACTTCGAACGATGCAATTTTGATAACTTTTTTAAAAGCAGCAAGTTATCTTAAAAAGTAAACCGGTGCTGCGTCGCAATTGTATAGGCGTAGGTACATATCACTTACCGTTGTACAGCCGAGGCTAGATGTAGAGTAACGGAATGTGGTGAGGTGATAAATAAATAGGCGAACGTTGTTTTGTTTAAAATTTCAAAACTAAAAGCTTTTGAACAATGCAACCAAATACTTCTGGATTTTAAATAAGTTTTTTTCACGAAGAAACAAGAAGAATGATTTTTTATATTAAGCAATTTGACAGACCAGCAAGCAGAATTTATACATGTATATGTACAAATGAAATGAAATGGGATTTAATGTACAAGCAGAGAGAGAGAGAGAGAGAGAGAGAGAGAGAGAGAAATGGGGTTTAACGTCCACTCGACACAAACTAGGTCATTTCGGGACTAACATATGGTTTAATTTTTTTATTTCAATAATTCGCTTGGCGTAGCGGTCTTTAGCAGTGAAAGGAAACCAGAGAAAACCGGAGGACCCGGAGAAAACCCACGAGGTTGGACAGGCGATCCTACTCCTTGTCACGTACAACTGGGGGATTCGAAACCACGCCAGTTGACTCAATGACAGGCTTTATGATACAGCGCGAACGTGCTAACCATTCGGCCATCCAACCCCCCATGTACAAGCAGAATACCAGGCTTTGATGGCCCAAAACATTCACATGGTCATGCTGGTTAATTTGATTTTTTCATTTGAAAATGGATTGGAGATCAAGCTATATATGTTGACTAATTTGATACCACATATGAGAGGGTTTAGCGTGGTGACGAAACATAATTTGTCCGTAGGCCCTGGCTCAATTTGCCTAGGGCCCAAATTCGATGGCCTAAAACATTCATGGGGTCATGCTGGTTAATTTGATACCAAAAATGCGGGTGGTGAAGCGCGGCTATGAAGTGTGATGGGCGAACATACATACAAACACACTTTTTTTTATTACTTACTTTTAAATGTTTAAATAATTTAGCTCCTGTTTACCTCTTGGATCTTTTTGAACTTTATACACCTGGCCGAACATTACGTACATCAGATAAACTACTTTTAAAGCCCAAAACTGTTCAATTAGTCTCTTATGGTCAGCGCTCTTTTAGTTATCAAGCACCTGTTTTATGGAATAATCTACCGTTTAGTTTAAGATGTTGTACATCTCTATATTCTTTTAAAAAACAACTTAAAACACATTTATTTAATCAGGCTTTTAACGGACTCTAATACAATCGTTAACATGTCCATAATCTTGTTGTTTATTTATGATTACATTGTCACGTTTATTTATGATTATATTGTCACTTTGTAAAGTGCCCCTGAACATGTTATATGAAAGAGTGCACTATAAATATGCTGTAATAATAATAATAATAATTTTTTGATTTATATAGATTTGGGTCATCAGTTTTCAGTAGTTAAAATACATCTCTTTTTAATGATAATTCTAAGATTAAAATAATATAGTTTGGATATCTTAGTAATATGCGATTCTATACCTATATGGCTGCCAAACATTACACCAATAGTGATAGGTGACTTTACAGAGTGTTAATTATAACAAACAAATACATATATTTAAATAAATGTCAGTAATTTTAATGATACGACAGGGATCAATATGGTTATCAAAGGATTATCATAAAACTCCTTTAATGTTTTTTTTGTAACTCCATCAGGGATGAACTGAGAAAGAAATGAAATAAAATTGGGTTTAACGTCCTACTGTTGTGCTCCGACTAGGCTAATGAAGTCGGCATTCACCACAGACAGCGGCACTAAAGCCTACTCTTACATCAAATTCCAATTACCATGGGAACTTTACATGCCCACCAATGTGAACACAAGATCTCAGTTTTCCGTCCCATCTGAATGAATAGACAGCTGTCCTTGTCAGGCCCTTCGTCCCGCACCTACTGAGAAGAAGCTTGTGAGTATGGTAAACTCAGGGGACCTAAAGAAGTTAATGTCCTGATGTAATTTAGGGGCTGTTTTTAGTCTTGTATTTTCATCGTTTTTGATACCAAATTGGAATTATTTCTTGATATTGATTGTAGCTATAGTCACTGGAGGTTTGTATTTACTCTAGAAAGAAAGCACCATTTACACTCAGCTTCTCCCCCGACCCATCACCCCCACACCCACATCCCCACCCACACCGCAAGGACCTTCTACAGTGGGGGGATTAAAATCTTCAACACAGAAACCAGACATCTAAATTATATCAGATTCAAACAGTGAACATTAACCCAAATATGTACATTTTCAATGGGAGGAAATTTGACAAGAAAAGCCATCTTTACAGGGTTTTTTTTTTTAATGAGTACTAAAATATTAACAACATCAGTTGGAGATGAGACAGTGATATTGATAAACTAGAAAATATTTTCCAAGCATTCTTTCTTTTAGATATTTCACATCCTTTCTAAATTTTATTAAATTGAAACAGTGGAAATTAGCCCAAATATACACATTTTCATTGGGAGAAAATTTGACAATAAAAGCCATCTTTATAGGGTTTTTTTTAATGAGTAATATAATATATA